GGCTTGACACCTTATGTCCTCAGAATTTCCACAGCAGAGGAGCGGGCGCCCTGGTCAGTCCCTGTCTCCTGGGCGGAAGGGGGCGTGGGCACCTCCGCCTCCTCAGGCCTGGTGGTGTAGCAGCCCGAGGGCCAGCTCTGGGCAGAGGGAAGAATGTGTGTGCAGGCCAGGGCTGTCCACTTGGGAGGATGGTCCTGGAGGCGGTGAGTCATGCTTGGTTGAGCATGCCATGTTCCCTGCCTGGCAGGGGCAGATCGCTCTGCTTGCCAGTGGAAGCCTGTGAGTGGCTCAAGTGTCCAGGGCCGTGAACAGCAACTCCCGGTTGCTGACCTGACTCACCTCAGATGGGAGGACGTTGTGGGTGGAACCCTGAAGAGGCTGAAGAGGCCGGAGTGTAGCCCTGCAGCAACGTGACAGTGCTTACGGGGGAAGGACCCACTGGACAGATGTCGGTCGAGGCAGCAGTGTCCGCAGCGATTCACCAGTGGACACGCTGTGTGCATAGTCCACGTGGGCCTTTGACTGAAACACCCGGACTTTCCATCATCACCCTCACCAACCTGCTAAGCGAGCATCCTGGGCGCTGCAGGGACACTCTGCTCAGAAGGACCCACTCATGGCATACTGCGGATGGGGCAGGAGTCGGGAACTTTCCAGAAAGACAGGAAGGAGAGCTGTGGCCCTTTCGGGGAATTTTCAGGCCAGGAAAAGGGGACCAGAGACTCCAGCCTCAGGGAGGACACCCCATTCAAACATCACAGGTGACAGACCTCACCAGAGGGTGCAGCACTCTTGGGTCAGAGGGTGGATGAGACCTTTTGTGTCCTGCTGCATGCTGGGAGGCTCCAACTTGCCTGCTGAAGTCCCTGGGGCTTCCATGCACTGCAGCTGGCTTCCTCAGCTGGTCTACCTCTCCTTGTTCTCAAGAGGCCCCGCCTAGCCCACAGCCACAGGCTTCTCACAGCTCCACCCCTCCCCATGGCTAATCCTGCCATTGATGTCACCCTGCCCCCTCCATGTTGATGTCCTTCCCCTGGCTGGCCCAGTCTTCCTCGCCTTCCATGTAACCCAAGTTCAAACTCCACGACCTGTCAACTGCCCTAACTGCTGGAGGCCACCCTGGACTGTCAGGGTTAAGTCAGACGCACTTATTTGACAGTGAGAGAGAGAATCAAGTGGCCTTTCATTTGTTCATCCACCCCTCCAGTGGTTGAGCCAGGAACCAGGAGCTCCAGCCAGGTCTCCCACGGGAGTGGCAGGGGCCAGGCAGGAACAGCTGAGACTCTGAGGGGCACTCCTGTGGGCTACCCGTGTGGCAGGTGGTGGCTGAGCCGCTGCCCCACATTGCTGCCCCGGTCTTGCTCACATCCACACTGGGATGGCTTCACATCTGCATCCTTAACCTCCACTCCTCACTGTTCCCATTCCATTTTACACGGATGCAAACTTTCATGTGCACAGCCTTGCTCTTCAAATTTTAAAAGTGGTATGGCTTTATTCAACTTAGGAAATGCTAGGTCTGGGTCGGGTCACAAGAGGCCCCTGCTGCATCTCTGCAGCCTTGGTCCCCAGTAGCCACATGGAGCCCCTCCCGGTCTTGGGGCTCACATCTGTCCTGGGAGGCAACAGGAGACAGGGCTGCATCACCTGTGTGACCCGTGACTCTTTCCTGCAAGGCCTCCCGACCAACATGGGAACCGTTCTTCCTGACCCTGTGCTAGACTAGCAGGGGCAGCCTGTGGCCCCGGGGAACACACAGGGTGAACCCTCTCATGCAGGAGCCTGGGGCACTGGGGAACTCTGGGAGAAGACAGGTGGGTGAGGGACCACCCCTTGCTCCTTTTCCAGCAGTGTTCTGACCTTGTTCCCTGCACAACACAGGCAAGAGGCCAAGTCCTCCTGTTTGGATGTCCCTGCCTGAATCCAGGCTGACTTTCCTGGAGCACACGGTCCTCTGGGGAGACCTGGGAAGTAGCTGTCCCATAAGAATGTTCTGGGACTTGTCGACCTTTAGAAGTGACATACCACGTGCTGACATTGCTGGAACTTGTCCACACTTTGCAGGTGCCATCACTGGAACTCAGGGTCAGCTGGGCCTGTGTGGTCTGACCCCAGAGCTGTAGACAGAACAGGGCTGAGCCAAGTGATGCCTTGGAGTGCAGCATCGCCTGCCCACACAGGAGCACGCGCCGTACACCTGGGACTCCAGTAGGAGCTGCATGATAAGCAAAGCCCTTGGGAAAATTCACAGAGTTCCACACCCGTGTGTCCTGGAGGCAGGACTGAGGGAAAGCAACTATAGAGACTTCTGTTGCTGAGCCTCAAGTTCACTTGATGCTTTGTGTACAAGATTGTATGCATGGGAGCACGCAGCCAACACACCACACATGGGAGCACGCAGCCCACATCACACATGGGAGCACGCAGCCCACATCACACATGGGAACATGCAGGCTGAGGCCTAGGCACACAAAAACTGCAGCCCATGCTGTGCAGGATCCCAGAAACAAAACAATGGTCCTTCTTGTCAAAAACTTAATGGCTGAAGCAGAGAGCTGAGGCCATACCACCTAGGCCAGCCAGGCCAGGCTGGGACTTCTTTTTTTTAAATTTAATTTTATTTTGATGATTTTTACATAGTTGATTAGGATGCAAAGGGTCAAGGGCTAGAGAAAAGTGGGTAAGACCATTGTTTTCACATTCTCTTTTTTCCTTCCTGTATCTGGGGAAAGGGGAGAGATAAGGGGAGAAGCCACACCCAGTCTCCCAACCATCCCAGGGTTCCAGATGTGGGGCATGCTCCAAGGCTCCTGCTTAAGTGGTTTTCATGGTTCAACAGTTCTGAATTGCTGCTGATCCTGCCACTCCAATCACGATGAAATCTCTCCAGAATCCACTGGCTGACATAGTCCACCTCGGAGTCTGTTTGCCCATATATACTCACCGCCAACGCTTGGCTGGGGTAGCTGATCAATTTGTTCTGTCCTCTGTCTTCTGTTATGGTACCAGGTGTCCTCTGTAGGTTCCAGTGTACTGCCAAGTCCTTCATTTGCATCTTGATATGCTGTCCACTGCTCCATCTAAGCCTCTGGGGAGGCCCAGCACTCCATGGTCAGACCATGGAACCTGCAATTTTCTCCATGGCTGGAGTTCTGAGTCCAGTGGTTCAGTTGGCGGGGAGGCAGGAAGGGGGAGAAGTGCTAAATAAACCTCATCTGATGACCCCAGGCCTGATTCTTGTGTTTGCCAATACAGGGTCCAGCACAGTTCAACACCCAAATCAGCCTACGCACACACTGGTAGTTGCAATTTCTGGGTCAGTTCTGGCTCTAGCCTTGTCTTCTACACAAACTAATGGGTGGGTGTTGGAGTCCAGCCTGCCTCTGCCCACCACATACTTTGCCTTCACGCAAACTGGCGGGAACGACCCATGATGACCCTTACCAGGCCTGCCTCCTGCCCTGGTTCAGGTGCTTGCCAGGATGTACAGCAGACTACACGAGTCTGTTTCGCATTCTGAAACAGCACCATCCAGGCTGCCTGTTCCTCCTCCTCCGGGAGGTGCAAGTGGGGAGTGTCAGCGGGTGGCCAGGTTGACCAGATGAGGATCCAGTGGTAGGTTTTAGTCCCACGGATGCCAGAGGGATGAGCATATTGCCACCTGGGTACCAGATGCTGCCTGGATGTGGAAACGTTCTGGAAAACACTGCCAGAATGTAGGGCTGGATGCCAGGGGCAGGAGTGATGAGCAGGTGCCCAGCAGGAACAGTGTCCCGGGAACACCCAGGGAGATAAGGGGACAGGAAGAATAAATCAGGGGTGTGGGCTGGCTCATTTCTGAAGAAATCAAGTGAAATAATATGAAAGAGGTGCCAGGGGCAGTGGGTCAGTCTGCTCATGGGGACACTGGCATCCCATGTCGGGTGCCCCTTAGTCTACTGCAATCTGGTCCTGCTCAGAGCAGCAGCAGCTGGCTGAGCCCTGACAAAAGGGACAGACAGGTCTCTGCCCTGACTCCGCCCTTCCCATGATTTTAGCTTTAAGTAATTCAGCGTCTATCTCTAAAGAAATAAAAAGAACAAAACCCACACCCTCGCGGGAGACAGATGAACTGTTAACACCCACCAAATGGTCTGCATGGGCCAGCACCCTGTGGGTCAGGGGCCCCAGCGGGTCGGCACCCACTCACTGAGGTCTCCTTTGCTTTATCTTGCAAATCCTCTTGAAGACACCAGGCAGTGTGCACAACAGTTTCCAGTGGGACACCTTTATGCCTGTCACAGGCACTGAGGGTGTGCAGAGGGGTGGGGGTGCAGGGTGACCTGTGTGTGGCCCTGGGTATTTGCATGTCTATCTATGAGGTTCAGATGAGTGTTTCATTTCACAGGGTCACTGACCTGCAAGGCTGGCCACAGGGGGCAGCAGTGGAGGGCAGCCTGGCTCACTGCAGCTTCTCACAGAAGTGCACAGGGAAAAGTGGATCCTTTCATGTGAGCTGACCTGGCCCACCGTTGGGGACCCCAGCCTGTGCCTCAGGAGAAGAAACTTAGAAACCTTCCTTTGGGATCCTGAGTGCATAAATTCTCTTCCTTAAAGTTGGTTTTCCACTTACTTGAAAGATGCAGTGACAGTGAGGGAGAACCACTCCCATAGAAAGGGAGCTTCCAACCACAGATTTGCTCCTCAAGTGGCTGTGCGATGATCAGGCCAGAACAGAGAAGCCTGGAGCCATGAACTCTGTTCTCTTCCATTAGGGGACAAGCCCTGGTATCCTCTGCTGTCAGCAGGGAGCTGGACCAGAAGCTGGGCAGCTGAGGCAGTGCAACCGGTGGCTTCCCCAGGTGAGCCACATGGCTACCCCTCTGCAGATTCTCAACCAGACCAGAAAGGCACTGAGTGTTGACCAGGGAGCACCACGGCAGGCCCCACCACATCAGGAGCTGAAACGCGAGCCCCACAGGGCCCACAGCTCCCTGTAGCAACGCACCGAGAGCAGAGCGTATGAAAAGAGTTTTTATTAAATGAGAGAAGATCTGCATGGTGGATCCAGTATGAAAAGATATACAAAACTTTACATCAGGCCTCCGTGCAGAGGGGAGGTGGCGGAGGGAAGCCTGCTCCTGGCTGCGTGCAGCTCTGCCCAGTGGCTGGTGGCCCCCAACAGTGCTGTGCTACACCCCTCTAGCTGCAGAGGCCAGGAGCAGCTCACCGCACAGGGGGTACTGGGTGAGTACGCCCTCTCACTTAAAAAAGTAGACTTTCCTGTACTTTGTAGTAAAACTTCTTAAAAACACCCATTTCTGCAAAATAATGTGTTTCTGCACGTAGAGCTCTGCGACTGTATGTCTCTGAGAAAGGGGGCAGCGAACGCTGGCCTGGTGGCTGCCAGCCAGCACAGTCCCCAGTCCCTGGCACAGCCCGCAGTCACATGAGGTCGTTGAGCTCCGCCTCAAGGGCTGCGGCCATCTCGTCTGCCTCCGAGCTGCTGCCCTCCCCGTCCGCGTCGCTGGACCCCCTGCTGGAGTCGCTGGCAGCGTTGTCCTCACTCAGCTTCCTCTTGTGGCCTCTGAAGAGAAGGAGAGTGGAGTGAGGATGGCTCGGCACACTCAGCTCCACCACGGTACCAGGCACTACCCCCCACTCAAGGGACACACATTAGCACTGGCACGTGTACACAGGTCCCAGGCACCCATGGCCCCAGCATTGTAGCTCATGAGTTATGCCTTCACCAACACTTTTTAAGATTGATTTTACTTTTATTGGAGAGTCCTATATACAGAGAGAAGGAGAGACAGAGAAGAAGGTCTTCCTTCCATTGATTCACTCCCCAAGTGGCTGCAACAACTAAGCTGAGCCAGGAGCTTCTTCTGGGTCTCCCATGTGGGTGCGCAGGGTCCCAAGGCTTTCGACTGCTTTCCCAGGCTGCAAGCAGGGAGTTGGATGGAAAGCGGGGCTGCTGGGATTAGAACCAGCGCCCATATAGGATCCTGGTGCGTGCAAGGCAAGGACTTTAACTGCTAGGCCATGGCGCTGGGCCCTTACCAACACTTTTAAAGGAGAAAATGATTTGTGGCTTCAAATGAGTAAAACCCAGCTAGCATTTTCCTGGTCATGGAGGACGTGAAAACACACTACAGCTGTCTGCGATTGCCCGCCACTTCCAGTCCCTTCTTATCCACTGTGGAGAGATGTCAAGTGAACCACCCACTGCAGATGGCCTGGGGTGGGGGGCGCCTACAATCATCCCTGGAGAGACGACACCAAGGGAGTGAGCCACTTTCACATTCAGGGGGAACAAAGTCTGATCAGCAGTCGGGGGAGAGCAGGTCTGCTGGGAATGGAGGGACTCCAGGGGAGGAAGGGAGGCAGAGAAGGGAGCGTTGGTATGGGAGCAGTAAAGAGCAGAGAAAACTCAGGCTCCTGACTATACAGCACACACGGTCACCGTGCACCCTGACTGTACAGCACACACGGTCACAGTGCACCCTGACTGTACAGCACACACGGTCACAGTGCACCCGGACTGTACAGCACACATGGTCACCATGCACCCTGACTGTACAGCACACACGGTCACCCTGCACCCTGACTGTACAGCACACACAGTCACCCTGCACCCTGACTGTACAGCACACACGGTCACCCTGCACCCTGACTGTACAGCACACACGGTCACCCTGCACCCTGACTGTACAGCACACACGGTCACCCTGCACCCTGACTGTACAGCACACACGGTCACCCTGCACCCTGACTGTACAGTACACACGGTCACCCTGCACCCTGACTGTACAGTACACACGGTCACCCTGCACCCTGACTGTACAGCACACACGGTCACCCTGCACCCTGACTGTACAGCACACACGGTCACCCTGCACCCTGACTGTACAGCACACACGGTCACCCTGCACCCTGACTGTACAGCACACACGGTCACCCTGCACCCTGACTGCACAGCACACACGGTCACCGTGCACCCTGACTGCACAGCACACACGGTCACCGTGCACCCTGACTGTACAGCACACACGGTCACCCTGCACCCTGACTGTACAGCACACACGGTCACCCTGCACCCTGACTGTACAGCACACACGGTCACCCTGCACCCTGACTGTACAGCACACACGGTCACCCTGCACCCTGACTGTACAGCACACACGGTCACCCTGCACCCTGACTGTACAGCACACACGGTCACCCTGCACCCTGACTGTACAGCACACACGGTCACCCTGCACCCTGACTGTACAGCACACACGGTCACCCTGCACCCTGACTGTACAGCACACACGGTCACCGTGCACCCTGACTGTACAGCACACATGATCACTGTGTACCCCAACGTAGCCCTGACTATATCCCAAAGTGTATAGGACACACATGCACCATGCAGCCTGACGCAGTCCTGACTGTGCAGGACACATGTTCGCTATAACCGGCCTTGTGTTTGGGGTTCCCTTGCTAGTCCAAAGCCTCCCTCCTCCTCCTATTCACACTCTGTGCCAGGTGACTGGGCGCACAGCTGCTCTGTAAAGGCTGTTTGCTTGCCAGCCCTGCTTCAGTGCTCTAAGAGCTCAGGCCCCTCCCTGAGCTTGGAACCGGAGACCTTTAACACAAGGCCTTCAAGGAATTTTCCAAGCTGCTCTGGAGGAAATTGCTCCTTATCCACAAGTGGCCACTAAGTTGGTGCTCAATCTCCTATGGCGGACCAGCCATCGGTGCTGTGAGCCCCACTGGAGTAGGCTGGGCTTCTAGAGGCGTTAACTCCTGAGCCCCCCATGTGGGGCAGTTTTCTGCTCTCTGCCAGCTGCGGGCACAAGGGGAAAGGACGAGCAGCCGGGTCCTCCAGGCTCTGAGGAAGCAGGCTCTGCTGCTCCATGCGTCTCCCTCTGCGCATGCTTCGTGTGCTTCGCAGCACTGGACCCCACACTTGCTGTTTCCCCTTCTCCATCTTGTCATGCTCTCCAGGGGCCTCCCACGGGTGAGGACATCTGAAGAGTAACTGGACCCTGAGGCCCTGAGCCCCTGGCCCCTACGGCTGGGTGGGGTCCTCCCCAGAGAGGCAGCTGTGAGGTGCCGTCTGCAGCCAGCATGTCTGGGCTGTCCTTTGTATCTCCAGGATCCACATTGCTTGTGGACACCTGTGCCCACCTCTCCTGGCTTCAGAGCTGCTGCCCTCCAGCTCCGTCTCCGCCAACCCCATGGCCGAGCACCAGCCCAGCGGTGCACACTGGACACTTGGTCAGAGGATCTGGTCAGCGCAGGTCGCCCCTCATGTAGGGAAACCCACTTGTCAGCAATACAGAGAATGCTCTGCAGTGGCAAAGGAACCCTGCCTGGGTGCCAGTTGACATCACAAACACATGGCAAAACCCAACACTGGAAAGCTGGGTCTGCAGGACCCATAGTTTGAGGAATACCCCACACCCTCAAGGGCACACGGCACAAACATTAGACAAGGATCCGAGAAGCTGCCAGGAGAATGGGATTAAAAGGCATGCTGACTCCGTGCAAAGACTTCTAAATTCTGCATTTTCACTTTCCATGAACTAATAATAATAATAATAAAATCTGAGCGTTAGATACAGAAAGAGAGGGAGAATGAGAGCAGTAACAGAGAACTCACATCCCTGGTTCACATCCCATACGCCAACAGTCGGCTCAGGGACATAATGCAGGCCTCTCCCATGGATGGCAGCATGCTGGAGGAGCAGCCAAGCCAGGCCTGCATCCAGGCGGGGCAGCCACCAGGCCTAACGCTTGGCCCCCTGAGCTTTCCCAGGGCTCCACGAGTTCTAACGGGACATCAGTGACTGCATGTGGGCCTGGGCCAGTGTGTATACACCCTGGCCCTAAGAACTCCTTGCCCGGGCCTCAGCTACCTGTTCTTACCTCGGTGGCCCTTACAGGGACCTGGCCAGCGTTCTCACCTGGGTCCCCGGGGGCTGGTCCCCGTCCTTTCAGTGCATGCAGATGACCGGAGGGGCTGCTCCCTGCGGGCCCCCCAGGGCTCCTGCTTCATGGGTGGGTGTCGCCCCTCTGGCCCCTCCTCCTGGCTATCCGGCTTCTTTTTTTCATTGTCGCTGTCATCACTGCCTTCTCCAAGGATGTCATCAACCTGAAAGATGTGGAGGTGGTCAGCAGCCAACACACAGACTCACAGAGCTGGTCAGCAGCCAGTGCGCACCTGGCCCTGCTGTGGGTAGACCCCAGCTTGCACCAACTAGCACCCTCAGACACTCCGGCTCCGCTGTGTGGGAGGCTGGGCGTGTAACTGCACACGGACACTGGGCTGCAGCAGGCTGCTGGAGGGGCTCCTGTGGTACATTGCTGACCCTGCTGGTCAGTGGGATTTGCATCAGGACCTGGCAACCCACTGCCAAGGCCTCCTCCGACAGCACCTCTGGAGTGGATCAGAAGGCAGATGCAGGCTAAGTTCTGCGCAGAAGGTGAGGCAGGACCCCTCTGTCCCTGGCAGCCAACCCTGCCTTCATGGAGGTAAAACACACGCAGAACCTTGACCTCTGCCAGCATTTCTGCCAGTGGTGAGGCCCACCCTCTGGGGGCCATGGTGGCCAGGCGGCAAGGCCTCCTTTCTCATTGACACCCACGCCAAGGGGCTACAGCATGAGGCAGCACAGCCTCTTGAGCTTGCAACCTGAGGGGATCTCCTAGGACCTGTGACATGTTTGTCATGAGGGGTAGGGGTTACCTGGGACTTGTGACATGTCTGATGGGTACTGACACCCCATCTGATGACAGCTGAGCAAAGGGCAGAACCCCTCTTCTGTCCGGAATGCTAGGAGGGTGCTCTGGCTCAGTATGCCCGGGATGGAGCATGTCATAGACAAAGAATGCCAGCAGGACCCTGGGGTTCAGCGTCCCCCGTCCCGGAATGGAGCATGTCACACAGACAAGGCAGCTGTGCTTCCAGAGGAGCAGTGTACAGAGTGATTTACCAGGAAGCTCGTTTACTAATATAAGCAAATATACAGAGAAAACTTCAATTTATTCTGAATTAAGTCCTGAATTCCCTCCCAAGAGGATGCACGCAGCATGTGGGCCCAACAATGCAACCAGGCACCTTGAGGACCCCTGTGGAAGAGAGGGCAGGGAGCAGAGAGCAAGGCAGGGCCAGCCCAGGCACAGGACAGAGGCTAAGACACCACACCAAGTGGGGATGGAAGCGTTCAATCACAGACCCCGCCAGCAGGCCTTTGGCTTTTAGCACCTTCCAAGGAAACGCTGAGAACCTGCAAGGTGAAGCACCTCCTCCTGGCCTTGTGGAAGCCACATCAGCCCCAGAGGGCACCTGCAGGTGTACAGGCACACACACAATTAGCCCAGCTGGGGACTCATGGAACACATCCATCCCACCGAAATGGTGCCACCTGAAGGGTACCTGAAGCCCACACACTCCTGTCCCCACTACTCAGACCCACATTTTATGGGATTAAAGCTGTTTAGACGCTGCTGAAATGGAGCGTGCGGCAGAGCTACGTGGAGCATGGCAGCACTCAGCTCCGTCCCTGAGACCCGTGGGCCTCAGTCCAGCCAGGCTACCTGCCCATCACACAGGAGACCCGAACCCCACTGCCCTCCAGCAGCCACGTGATCATGGCCCACACAGCCTATCCCTAGGTTGTGGACAGCTTCTGTGGCCTCAAGGCAGGGGCTGTGACACCCCCACAGGTCCATAGGCTAGGACGTTGTGCTGAGAGAAAGCAGGTACCACTTTCAGCACGGCGTCAAGACCCAAGCGGGGGACCTGAACCCAAAAATCCATGCATTAACAAGAGGTAGGCAGGACTGGCTCTCTGGTCTAGCTTGCTCAGCCAGCCCAGGCCAGCTCTGGATCCAGCTGCTGCCTAGGGCACCTGGCGAAGCAGTGGAGCATGGCCCAAGGGCCTCATGGCCTCTGTACCCATGTGGGAGATCCAGTGGTGCTCCTGGCTTCAGCTTAGTCTAGCCTTGGCTGCTGTGGACTTTGGAGGAATGAATCAGCAGATAAGGTTTTCTCTGTCACTCTACTTTTCAGACATACAGATCAGTTATAAAAATACAAAGCAAAACACCACGTGCTTATTCTCTACCATCAAATACGCGGCTGTTAGTTAACATGGCTGGAACTGGAATGTGCTGTAAAGTGGACAGATGGCAGCCAAGAAAATAAACACAGCACTTCACAGCCCAAGAGAAACCCGGAGGACAGAGCCGCACTGCTCCACGCTGGGGCTGTGGCCAATGTCCGGAGAGCAGCACTGACTGAAGAGGGGAACTGCCACTTCCAAGAGAAACACCCATCACCCTAGAAGAGCAGGAACCAAATCACACCCCAAGCCTGCTCCAAAGGAGTACCTGGGCAGACGCCTCTCCACAAACCACAAAATACTACAGCCCAAAGTCACTCCTTTCTGAGACTTTGACCAGCAAGGGAGAACCTGGCATGATCCAATGTGGTTTCTGTTGAGCCAGATTCAGAGGCAAAGCTCTGTAGCACATGTGAACACACAAGCCGTGTATGTCTGAAGATCTCAGGTTGACACATGGCTCTGGGTCCCAGTAGCAGGCTCTAGCCTGTCCCCAGTGGGCAGCCTCCACTGTCTGGGAGAGGCTGTGCCTAGCAGCAGCTGTCCAGAACGAATCCGAGCATTTTAACTCACACTGCAGATACTCAAAGAGGCGAGTTTTCAGTCCTCACCTGAGGGGGTGCTCACAGGGATAAGCCTACATAACGACAGGAGTGGACAGGCACACAGCTGGCACCCATCCGGACACCGTGCGCACACCTTGCTTTACTAGGGAGCTGAGGGACCCAGTAGCAGGTGGCCATATGAAGCGGCACCGTCTCTGCAAGCAGGCAGGATGGGAGACAAAAGTGAGGGCTGTGCCATGGCAACCCCACTGCCTGTTGGTGCTGCCCAGGTGCCACCTTGGGTCTCAAGGCTCAGACACTGACCACACCTTTGAAGTGTCACGGCTGTCACATGAAAACACGGGTGCTCTTGAGGATGCTTCAGCAGGCCCTGCTGCTGTGGCTTCACTCCCTCACTGAGATGGACGCTTGTGGGAAAACCCCACAGCAGAGACCATGGCCAGCAGCACACAGCTCCCCACGAGCACGGAGAGGAGAGTGTGGGCCTGAACGTGCAAGACACAGGGAAGGCACTGGAATATGAAGTAGGAATGCGACCATCACCCTGTCCACCTCAGGTGGAACTGAAACTGCCCAGTGAGGCCTTCAATGAGCAGGCAGACACACCAGAATCTGTGAATGCAGATTGCACTGCAGCACCACACTGCCAGCACTACTTACAGGGGAAGCTGCATCCATGATCGACACACTCTGAAAGTCAATGCTACAGACAGAGACAACATCAGCTCTGCTGGCCAGGCCCACCTGTGACGAAGGCCCTCGGCTGACCTGGAGAGGCCAGATGCTGGCCCTAGCATGTAGTCGTCCCACCAGGGACCCCCGCAGGCAGCAGGTAGTAAATGGGAAGCAGCATGTGGCTGACAGGGCTGCCTGGGGGGCGGGGGGCAACTTCCTTTCAATTAGGCTACTTGCTGTTAGGGCTTGGGTTCTCTGGCTCCAACTTTCTCCCAGCCCTTGAACGGGCATGGAAGGAGATAAGCTACTATGAGGCAAGCCCAAGGCGCACATCCCGGAGAGACCGTGCCACGCACATGGTGCTCATCCACTTGCTCATACTCTGATGGCTGGGCAGGAGCTGTGCTGTGGCTGCAGAGCAAGGCCAGAGCGGAGAGCAGGCCCCAGGCAGTTCTGGGAGAAGAGACACAAGCCAGGCACTCAACACACATGGACGGCTCTCATTGCCTGGGTTTTCCTCCTAGTCCTCACCCTGAGAGGCCATGCAAGGATCTACTGTGGGTGCCTATGTCAGCAAGGCAGGGCCATTCAGGGCTGCCCTGGTGCTTGGAAGCAGGGGAGGGTTCATACTAAAACTCCAGGCTGCATCAACCTGAGTCTGGGGATCTTGGAGACTAGCAAGAGCTCCCTGGAGTTATCCCTGTGGGTCCCTGTGTGTGTGCAGTGCCCCCTGCATGAGCTAAAGCTGGAGGCTGGAGGTGTGGCACCTGATTTTCTCATTCATATAAGGCCATATTCTGAGAACCTCCCAGGAAGGACAGTCAAACCCAGGGTGAACTGAGGAGGTGGATGGTTTGGGGCCCCAGGGCCAGCATGAAGCTGAGGGCTTGAGGCAGGCGAGGGCCTGGGCTGGCTGTGGCTCCCACAGGAGGTGGCCATTCAGGGCAGCTGAGTTCAGGCAGCACCCACCCTGAGCCAGAAGGTTCAGAGTGCCAGATGCAGGTGAGAGACAAGGGTTAGGAAGACCCTTCCCTACTGGCTCGTTGCAGCAAAGCTCCATGGAAGACAAGCCAGGGCAATGAGCTCATTGTCACACTGTGCACACAGCATGAGGCACTCGGTGGGAAGGTAGGCCAAAAAGCTCCCCTAAACAACCTGAGCCAGGTATGCTTGCAAACAAGAAAAGACCCAGGGGTGATCTGGATTCCTTTCCAGCAAATGTAAAATGTCATGCTTGATGTAAAGGAGACTTCCTCCCTCAGGAAGTCGGAGGGTCGGCACAGTGGGACGCTGGGTGAGGCTAAGGCATCCCAGCGTATGTGGGGTGTCACTGGAGTCCTGGCTGCCCCATTGCCAGTCAGCTTCCTAACCTGCCTGGGAAAGCAGCAGAGGATGGCCCAGGTGACTGGGCCCCTCCACCTACGTGGGAGATGAGGATGAAAATCCTGTCTTCAGCCTTGCCCCGTCCGGTCACCACGGCCATGGGAGGCGTGAACCAGTGCACGGAAGACTCAAGAGTGTGCGCTTTCCTTGGAGGGAAGCATGTCCTGCAGAAGTGGTGGCAGGCAGGATAGAAGGCCGAAGTGGGCAGGCACTGCAGCCATGGCCTCACCAGGCGTTAGTACTGACGGCTCCATGCTTGCACATCCTGTGCAAAGGCAGAGGGCTCTTAAATCTCGGGCCATAGCTTCCCTCTCCACTCAAGTGTCTCTTCGCATGTAGACAGACAGATGGTGTTTACACCACTGCCCACCACACCTTGATCTACAGTGGTATTCCCCGTGACACCAGGGGATGGCAAGAACACACGGGTGCCCAAGAAGCTCCCATCTGGCACAAACCATGGGTTTCCTGGCCAGGGTACAGCCTCAGTGCTCAGCATACCCACAGCAGCAGTCTGATAATGGTCTCTCAAGAGCCACTTTTGAGGCCCAGGGTTGCTATTGTTGGGGAAAAAGGACCTGGTGTTGAGTGGTTGCAATGCTAAGTGCATTTGGGGTTTCTGCTTCACATTAAGATTCCAATTCTGTGATAGAACTGCAGCTGCCTTAGCACAGGCACCAAGGCAAACCCTGAAAGCTGGAAGGGAAACATGGATGGATGGGTATAGGTGTGGGATGGAGACAGCAGCCCAGGCCCAGAGACGAACAAGCAGGAGACCCAGCATGTTGCGACGATGGCTGAACCCTCCCTGAACGTGGCACCAACCTAGATCAGCTGGCCATCAGTGCATCTGTTACTGCTTTCTGTCCACTGGACACTGAGTGCAGTTGCTGTTTGAGCGAGGAGTGGCCAGACACTGGCTGTGGGCATGGCATGGCCATCATGACCTGCTTTTATGTGAGGTCCAGCTGTGCACACTCCTGCCTCAAGAACCCTGGCAGGTGGTCCTTGTAAGCCAATGAGGACTTGGCAGGGCCAGTCATGCTACTCTGAGTGTAAAATCACACTGTGAAACAAGAACACTGATTTACAACATGACTTCTAGTTTAGCAAAGTCCCCGCTGTATGCTGGTCCCAGTCAAAACTGGACTTGGTTGGAGCTCCAGGGTCCTCACTTCTGTACTTGGGAAACTCTCCCCATGGCTCCTCATTGCCCAGGGCCATGGCACACCAAGGGTCCTAGGCCAAGCAGCCATGGCAACCTGCCTCGAGTACCCCTTGTTGTGACAGCAGGATGGAAGGGGGACATGAGTCCTAGGTGTCCCCAGCCACAGAGTCTCAGGAGAGCTGGCTCAGAGCTCCCGCTCTGTCTGGAGTCCTGCCCACCCGTGGCTCACCTCTTTGTCCATACTCTCCAAGTCTTCCTTACAGAGGGTGTACAGCGGCATGGTCTCCGACATACTAGGCTGTCGCTTTCTCCGGGAAGGGCCAGGGTGCTCCCCATCGCACACGTCAGGTACTGCTCCACCAAACATCTGTGGCTGGAGTGTCTGAGCAGCTCTGCAACAAGTTCACAGGCCCATGAGGAAATGCAGCTGACCAGAGCTGACCCTCCCACAAGACAGCAGAGTGCCTGGCTGGGAAAACGCTGGACTGTCCACAGGGCTCTCCCTGTACCCTCAGCAGGTACAGTGCCCAGGTACAGATGCGTCCTGCTCCCCATGGCTGGGTCAGGGTGAGGGATAGACAGGCTTCTGAGGCTACCCGCCCATCACGCATCACCTGCTCCCCAACAGGCCCCATCTGGAGGCCAGTGGTTGGCTCAATGGGGTCAGAATCAAGGGCAAATGTGAAGGGAGATGCGCATGTCCCCAGAAAGTGTTATCGGCCCTCAAAATAAGACCAGGAGGGCTGCAAAACATAAAACAAAGCAAAGCCAAACAAAAACAGCAATTACAACCTGTCTCGGGCACAAAACAGATACCCAGGAAAGAACGGGGATTCTGACAACGTCAACCAGCAGACGCTCATCCACTCCCAAAGGAGACAGACATAGTCACATCACACATGCAGGATCACAAGCCCCACCCCGAGTCTGCTAACTGCAGTGTGGAGGAATACTGCTGCTGGCAAGGCTCCCTGCGGGGTCACCTTGGCTTCATGCTTTCTCTCCATCTGCCACAGTCAGCAAACCCACAATGGGCACAGCTGCCTGAGACTCCAGAGCAGGCTCTCCCATCACACACACACTTCCTGTGAGCTCAGATACCCATGAATGCATACATGGACTTGTCTCTCCATGCTCCATGACCCTCTGGGTTCCCCTGGAAACAGCTGGTTACATGCTCATAGCACTCAGGACTCTAAAATGGCTACTTGTTCTCTTCCAGGGTTGGCCAGGCTCCTAGTGGGCAGGAACACTGGGCACTGCCTCACTGGATGGAGTGTGGCTGATTCGTGGCACAGGCCATGCACGATGCAGACTTACTGCTGCTGATGAGGGAAGTTCTGACTTCCGCTCTGGCTGGCTTGCTGCTCATGTGACTGGGAGAGTGGCAGCGAACAGTCCGCAAGTGTGGGTCCTGCTACTCTACTGGAGAGCAAGGTGAAGCCCCCAGCTTCCACGTGGGAATGAACCACAGAATGCCAGGCCTCTCTCTCTGTCTCTCCCTCTTTCTAACTTTGCTTCTCAAAGGAATCTTTAAAAAAGGGAGAGGAGGACCCACAGTTCAGTGGATAACTCCTCGTCTAGCATGTGCCAGAATACCATGTGGATGCCGATTAGTGTCCTGGCTGCTCTACTTCCCATCCAGCTCCCTGCTTATGGCCTGGGAAAGCAGTTGAGGATGTCCCAAAGCCTTGGGACCCTGTACCCGTGTGGGAAACCTGGAAGAAGCTCATGAATCCTGGCTTTGGATCTGCTCAGCTCCAGCTGCTGTGGCCACTTGGGCAGTGGGTCAGCAGAAAGATCTTCCTGTATCTCCTTCTCTGTAAATCTACCTCGCCAAGAAAAATAAATAAAGCTTAACAAGAACAACAGCAACAACAAAAAAAGAGTAAAGAGCTAGCACTACAGTGTATTAAGTTCAACCTCTGCCTTCAGTGTTGGCATTCCATATGGGCACTGGTTTGAGGAGTCCCAGCAGCCCCATTCACATTTCACTTTCCTGCTTATGGCCTAGAAAAGCAGAAGACAGCTCAAGATCTTGAAACCCTCTACTCAGGTGGGAGACCTGAAGAGGCTCCTGGCTTTAGATTGGCTCAGACTCCTATGACCCACACCTATGATCCTCACACACACCTGTGATCCACTGATCTATGATCCACACTGAGCTATGGGATCCTCACACACTCCCGTGATCCACTCTGAGCTAGGAGATCCTCACACTCCTGTGATCCACACTGATCTATGTCTGAATGTCACATACTGTGACACTGAACATTATCGCCCCCCCAGTGACTGTATGCAGTTATCTGCTGCTTGGTATTTTAGTAGCTGACCCTCAGGGCACCTGGAGGGTTCTGTGGTGTAGGAGCTCAGCATTCTTTTGGTGAGACCAGTCTCCCTCACCCTAGAAGCCCTGGTCAGGGTGAGGTACACATGCTGCTGCAGCCTGGGGCCCCTGAATTGCTGCTGGATGAGAACTCTCCCATCGCTTGCTCTCATCTGCCAACCTTGAGCACACTTGCAGCAGCCCTAAGAGCTGTTTGATGCTCACCTACAAGCCTGTAAGATCCACTTGACACACCCTTCCAGGGACTCAGCTGCCAGACCAACACCAACTTACAGTCCCTGAAGTCTCCAGTGAGAGCCATCCATGGCCTCATCATGTGTGTGCTGTCACAATGGGCTTTGCTGTAGGGTTCTGCATGGGGGAGGGGCTCCACAGGAGTGGAAGAGAGCAGGGCCAGAATGGAGACGGGCCAGGCAGGCATCTTGTGAAATCACACGAAGTCCAGGGAGGTGCCAACAGATGGAACCTGCCATTCTGACAGGTCTTCTCACCCTTGGAGAAGCACCAGAACACATTCTAACCTGAGTCGAAGGCTCTCTGCAGCTGAGACTGTCCAGCCACCCTCACTGCTGGCCTACAGGGAGGCTGCAGCAGGGCCCAAACATGGCTGATCTCATCAGTGTGACGGCACAGCTCTTAATGGTGGCACCAACACTGCTGGGAGAACAGAAGCCCCTTGGCCCTGCCAATGATTCAGCAGAGTGGACATAGGTCACAGCATAGGTCATAGGCCTTGACATAGGTCACAGCTGAGGCCCATCATGATCCCTCTGACCTATAAAGAACTGGAGAGAAGCAGCTCCCTGGAAGGAACCCAGCACGCACTGGGGGCACTCCCCTCTGCAGGCCTCACCCATCACATCCCAGAATGACACGTGGTCACCTAGGCACTCAGGCCCAGAGCCATCTCTCCTCTGCTCTCAGCCCAGGGAGCCCATGCCCCTTCAGACATGCCAAAGTTGCTGTCCATGTTTACAAAAAACTCCAACTCCGTCTTTTTCTCAGCATGAAAAGATTCTGAGGGTTAGGTGCTGCTTCTGTGAACAGCACAGCCATGTGTACAACTGCCAGTTAACCATCAGAAACCAGAGTGGCTGCGCCACTGGCAAGACGCCACACAGAAATGAGAAACTGCTTGCAGTGGACACGGCCAGTCATGGGGGCCGGTGTCACAGGACCTGTGCTCTTGGCAGTCACTGAGGCAAGTGAGTGGTCATGGGGGCAGCATGATCCCAGCCAGCTTAGAGTGAAGCGGCTAGCAAAACACAAAAACACAGATACCTAAGGGCGACTGTGGCTTTCATGTCTCAGAAACACTTGCTCCTGACGTTTGGGCGTCCCCAGACAGCTGAATGGATGGTGGTTGGCCCCAAGCAGCTTCAGGATGGGCTGGTCACCAGAAAAGACTCCACCAACCACACCTCAGAAGGAGGCTTCAGGGTGTCGAGAGTGTGAGAGCAGGTGCATCCCAACTGACTCTCCCACAAACTGGGGACGGCCCCTAAGGGGCTGTGACTGTGGAGGGGTGGGGACTGGGGGAGCAAGGCCTTGGCACGGTGCCCCTCTCCTGTCATAGCCTCCATCCACACTCGTTTGTGTGAGCACCTGTCAGCTGTCCTAAGGTCCTAGGTGGTCCCCAATCCTTCCATGCCCTCCAGGAGGCTCAGTTCCAGCCTAGAGGACATCATGGCCTCACTCAGCCCCACAGGGACTCAACATAGTTTTTCTGATGTCCTTTGTGATCTTAATTTGCTGCTGATTTGTGGGTCCTTGCCATAAACACTACAATTAAAGGTAACATTGACCCTTAAATGGCATCTTCCAAGGCTCAGGAAGGACCTGGATTATTCAAAGCAACTATGTGGACACAGTGTTACATCAGACAAGGAAGAGTATGAAGAAAACATTCGGGGTTCCCAGTCCTGCAGCCCCCCAGCTTGGTCCCCGTCCTGCCCCTGCAGGCTGGCTTCTGCACACTCCCCATCACCTCCCAGAGCTGTGCAGGTGGTCCTGTGGGGAGACTTGGGAACTCTACAGTTCTCTACCCTCCCTGGCCTGGTCCCAGGACTGTACACCGTGTGCCCAGCACTCTGCGAGCTGCTGGCTGCTCTCGTTAAGGCCAAGCACTGCATGATGATTGGCTGCTGCAGGCCTGCTCATCTTGGGCTTTAAGGGTTTGTTTGGATCCCCTCTAATTGTCTCAGGGTGTGGCTCCCGGATTCATGGAACCTGTAGGATTGTTCTGAAACTTCCAAAGGTTTGCTTCACCTGGGTACCTTGTCCTGGTGGTCCTACTTGTGGTCCCACTTTCAAGTTAGTTTTCTGATCGACCTGTCTTATGGTATTTTTCCCAACCAGCCCATCTACCAGGTGCTGCCCACCTCCTCCACCACACTGCAGACGGCCTTCCATCAAAGTGTGTGTGCATGTGTGCATGCGGAGGTGGATGTATCTACTCTCTGCATGCTCCTGGCGGCACCCACTCAGGACTGCTCTGGTCCCTCTCAAACCTGGAATACCTGAGAATCCCAAGGGAGGAAGACAACAGGGGTGGAGTCTCAATTCTCCTCCGGAAACAGCCACACTCAAGAGTTCTTGGGATGCAGGGAGTGACTCCAGGACACACGGTGACCATGTGTGTGCCAGCAGGAGCCTCATCCACTGACCTATGTGGTTGCTTCTCTGATGCCATGAAAGGCAGTGCAGTCCAGCTCTGGGTTGAGAACCAGGCAGTCCACCAGCGGCACCTCCTCTGAGAGGCAAGGGAGCTAAGCTTGACCCACCATGAGAACCTCCCTGGGACAGCTTCGTTGCAAACCTGGAACATGTCACCTACAGGCAGCCACGCAGGAGGTTGAAGAGCTGCTCAGTGAGGACACAGGCCACCCCTTCAGTCACTGCACGTACGCTTCCCAGCATGGATGGCCCCCAAAGGGACAACATCTCAGCAGGAGCACGTGGAAACAGAAGACACCCACTAGGGCGAAGCCCAAGCAGCTGTTCCAAGGCTGCCAAGAGGCTGCCTGAAGCAGGAGCCATGCCTTGGTGAAAGGAAGATGCTCCCTCCCCTTCCTCTCTCGGTGACAGACACATGACATACACACCCGGGCAGCTAGTCATGCTACTGGTTACAAAGAAAACAACAAATGTGGCAAAAAAGCTGAGGTCATCTACTGGGGTGATATATACACAATCTTCAAGTGAAGCAGCCCATGGGTGGCCACACTCTCACACCAACAGGAACCAGCCCACTGTGGTGTGTGGCAGAAGGGCACTCAGGTTGCCAGGGGGCACCAGACATATACAGGAGGGCCCTTCTCTATGGCCAGATGCAGACTCTGAGCTCGGGGTGTGGGAGCCTTTCTGGATTTGAGTGTGACTTGAAGGACAGCAGAACCCAGGGCCTGGCACTCAGATGAAGGGTCTGAGGCGTCTTTGGGGTTTTCCCCTTGCAGCAAGATGTTAACAGAACCTGTTTGCAGCCTGCCTCTGTTCACCATTCAGTTTGTTTCAAAGGATTATTTGCCTCGCGTTGGCCTCTTAGTGAATGTTCATGTGTCTCTGTATTTACTCCAGCCTGGGAGCAGAACACCTGTTTAGTATTGCCCTTTGGACTGGTGTCTGTTTTGTTAATGCAGCCGTGCCACAAATTCTCCTTTGTCTTTTAAAAATGTTATGGCTTTAAATTATGATTTATTTTGACTGTGGAATAAATACATGAATGGAGCAGAGAGGCTGTGGATTGGGCTGAGGGTACCAGGGATGGGGCAAAGATGCCAGGGCGCCTCCGAGGGGAGACCTAGGTGCTCTAACAGAGGACATGGACACGTGCCCAATCCTGTGTCCCACCTGCCCACCCTGCCCTAGTGTCCTGACTCAGCCAGGGCTTCCTGTCCACCAACTGCCCGATGCCCTCTCTAGTCTCCTTCTCAGTGTGTGTAATGGGAAGGTGTGGCTGTGGGGCCCAACGCTGGACCTGATTCCCAGGTGTGGGAGGGAGCCAGTGGCATGGCATAGCAGGTGGCCTGGGCTTCAAGAGTTTTCCTCGGCCATTCCCGAGACCAGCCTGATGACAAGAGGAGGCAACTCTGAGGCGGGTGGCCAGAGGCAGAATCCAAGGGTTCCTCCATCCCAGCTTGGGGCTCAAGAGGAGGGACTCCCGAGTCCTCAGCTGCAGCTCCCTTGGAACCCAGGGCTGAGTGAGGCCCTGGCCTTCACATGTCCACATGGCACCCTCTCCCTAGCAGGACCAGAAGCCGCAGGCGCCAGCTGTGGGCACCATGGTTACCTGAAGGCAGAGGGCTCGCCACGGGCGGGCAGGGTGCTGCAGGGTGCAGCCCCAGGGCCCTGCACCCCAGTTCTGATGAGCTTTCCTGTTTTGGAGTCGTAGATCCGAACCTCAGGGCCAGGTGGGGCCTTAGCGTGAACGGGCGCCGGGTGATGTAGGGCAGTTGGAGGCACAGCCTGCTTGTCTGGAGGGGCCGGTGGGCTATTCTCCCTGTGCAGAGAGGGTGAGGGCTGTGAGGATCGTGATGACAGCAGGCAACCACTCAAGCACATCTGCTGGAAGCTCCCGGCCTTCTGATGAAGCTGTGCAAGGAAATGGCAAGTGTCCAGGCCTCCTGCCTGGGCGGACACACACAGGGTCTGCTGCTCTCTCTTGCAGCGTCTGACACGGGAAGGCCTTCACTGCGGACACAGCAGGCAGACTACTGACCAACAATAGCCATTCTCAAACAATCTGCTTCTTCTCCACCTTGGTCTGACACCCTCATCTTTGCTCTGGAATGACCTGCACGTGACTTGTGCGATGCCCACACATGCCAGCCCAGGCCCCAGGGACAGCCCCAGCCTGTGTCAGGACAAAGCAAAGCAATTCCACTTCTTCCTCAGCTACTGCAGTGCTGTTGAGGCCTTTCTGTGAATCAGCGGGATGGGAAGGCCAGTGCCAGAAGGGCACACTGAGCCCCAGCTGCAAGCTGAGGTACCTACCGCTGTGCCTTGGCATCACTGTCCCGGAGTGGGAAGAGCTGCTCCTCCACCTTGTCCCAGCGCTCCAGGCAGCTCCACAGCCAGTCGGGATTGACCACGTGCAGGTGGCGGCATTCCTGAGCCTGGCGTACCTTCTCCGTGCCTGCAGGAAATAGGCCAGGGTCAGGAGCAGGGATGTGTGAAAGGGGCTGGCAGAGCCAGGCTCTGCACTGGCCTCCCCTGCCAGGCCCCCTGTGTGGCCCTTGCCTGTGCTCTTGGCCCTGGGCTGCCTGTGTTGGGTGGGTGACTGCTATGTTGTCCTGCTGTCTGCCATGCTGTCCCCACAGCTCACCACTGTATGCTGCACTTCGACTCCAGGATGGCTCCCTAGCCAGGCCAGGTCCTGAGCCAACATTCCTCGGCCCATGCACCCTTCTCCCAGGGCCACTCTGCAGCCACACGCCTCAGCCCTTTTCCACCCCAGCGTCACTGTGTGGCCACCAGCATCTGGGTCCACCTCCGTGGTCCAGTCTCCAGACCACACCTTCAGCTTTCCCTCACTTGTTTGCCTTTACCACCCCTCCTCAGAAGCCTTCTACCTGTGGCATCACTGCCCTCCTCCCAGCCCACGGGGCAGCAGCCTTCCACAGCATATCAGGTAGGGGCAGGCGTGGTGAAGGCAGGTCTGGAAGTCAGGGGCCACTGATGTGTCCACACAGCTGCCCCCTTAGGGAACCCTCTTGCCCTCTGTGGAAAAAGCCCTTTGACAAGCAAGAAAGTCTGGCCAACTCTATATGTGAGATGCTCAAATGAGAGCAGACTTCAAGACGCTGGCGTTGTGGTGTGGTAGGTAAAGCCACCACCTGTGATGCCAGCATTCCACATGGCCACCAGCCTGTGTCCTAGATGCCCCATTTACAATCCAGCTCTCTGTTAATGGCCTGGGAAAGCAGCAGAGAACGGCCCGAGTGCTTGGGAGACTGGAAGAGTCTCCTGGCTTCGCCTGACCTAGTCCCTGCTACTATGGTCACCTGGAGGGGTTCAGACTGAGTCAACAGCTGGAGGATCTCCTTTGGTCTCTCCCTCTCTGTGGCTCTTTTAAGTAAATAAATAAATTTTAAAGAAAATAATCAGGCTCTAGAGCAGAGGCAAGATCAAGGGCTACAATGTCAGCTCCCAAGGGACTGCCACTGGGGTGGGCAAGTGGGCCTAAGTGTGAGGCTCAAGAGTGCAGGTTCCGGTCTTCTGAGACAAGCCCCGCACAAGCGTGTCAAACAAGGCACGTTGCGTACTGCAGCACGGGAGTCAGCTGTCCTGACCCTAGAAGTAGAGCCCTGCATGGGAAAGAGGGATCCCAGGGAGCCCAGGGGCCTTGCTTGGGCCAAGGGCTCAGCAGCGAATGCTGCCTGGGGCTGCCCTTACCACAGCCACCTCCCAGGCCCAGCCGCCAGGGGAATGCTGTGAAATCACGTATTCAATTTTCTGGCTCCGAAGGCTGCACTGTCCTTTAACTTGGGGATGCTGCAATCCCCTGCCCCGGTCCTCATTTCTCTGCTGAGGTCCTGCCTCTGATTCTCCACTAACCCAGCACCCACCTCGTAATCCTCTGCACCACAAGGATGGCAGCTACAACATGTGTGCTCAGTGAGATGTTGACCAGCACACAGCTTTCCGTCTACTCTAGGAACTCACCAATGGGACGGGAACCTCCAGGCCAAGCAGGGATGCCTGGGAGTGCTGAGAACTTACCGGCCCGTGCCGCGATCAGGTGTGTGGCCCTGTCAGGGGCGTCAGGGTTCAGCACCAGCCGGGTGAGAATCTTGGCGCCGAGCGCCGTGGCGTGGTAGTGCTCCCGGGTCTTTTCCACGGGGAAGTTAGCAGGGTGCAGGCCGCTGAATGCAATGGCAACGCCGGCCAGCACCCTGCTCTTGAGCTCCGGCACGATCTTGCGCATGTCTGGAGCCTCTTCCACCTCCTTGTTCAGGTACTGGTCGTATTTGGTGTAGTAGTGGGCATGCACGCGGGCCAGGATCTCCTCCAGGTGGATGAGGTGGTCGTCGTCATCCGTGTCTTCCTCTTCATCTTCCTCCTCCACACTCTGGTCCAGGGACTCGCCGGCGGTGATGCCCGACTGCTCACTGTTCTGCGACTCGGTCTCCGCCTCCTTCCTGTCAGCACAGCCATTGCCCAGGCCACAGAGGCTGCCCTGCTCGCCCTCCTCGGGCATATCCAGGGTGCTAGGTGGAAGCTCACCCGTGTGGGTAGGGCCTGAGGGCTTGCCCCCGCCTGGGTCGGGGGTGCCTCCCTGCGGCAGCACCCTTACTCCATCACGCAGGGCTTTTGGCTTCTTCCCATCCCTCTTCTCACCACCCCCTGCTGAGGCAGAGGCCTCGGACTCACTGCTCTCGCTGTCACTGGACAGGACAAACTCCAAGTCTGTGCCCGGGGCACCCTGAGCAGGCTGTGTTCCAGCTGAGGTCCGACCTCCCCGCGGGCCAGGGGGCCAGGCGTCCAGGCCCTCGGCCTTCCCGAGGCGGGACATGCCTTCTGAGGCTCCTGGCATGGCCTCGCCACCGTTCAGCTCCTTCGCAGGCTTTCCAAGGCCGTTGCTCGGCTCCATTCCAGGAAGGTGCCTTCCCTCCTCAGAATCCTTCCCAGGCAAGGCAGGCTCAGCGATGTCAGTCCCTTTACCAGAAGGGTTTGCTACAGATGTGTGCAAAGGAGAGGTCAGTGTCACTCCCAGGCAGCGGCACATATGTTGCCCTGCAGGACCTGCCCTCAGCTGTAAGCATCTGTGTCAGCGGGTGCAGTTCTAACTGCAGGCCTGAAATGCTGGAGACCATGGTAAGGGCTTGTCCTGCCACTGACCTGCAGCTCCCTGCTTCCCACAGTGGAGCAGCCAGGTTCCTGGAGCTGTGTCTGTCCAAGGAAAGTGGGGTGAAGGCCAGCCCTTCAGCGTATGAACCTGCCCCCCGCCACCTGTATGCAACTGGGAGCACACATCAGAACTAAATACCATCCTGGCTCCCAGTCTCCAATGAACCCTGCATCTCTGACTGCTGAATGTTCTAGAACCAAGGCAGCCGGCACTTGGCCGGGCCACGTACCTCTCCTTCGGGCCTGAGGTTCCCGGGGTCCTGGGGGTGCATTCAGGTCGCCGGTGCCTGGGAAGTACACGTACTTCTTCACAGTGATCAGGTTGGGGGCAAACTTCCAGACATCCTCGCGGTCATCAATGATGCAGACCATTGAGTCTCCACACGGAAAGAGGTTCCTATGAGTCAAACACAGAGTTCAGGGCACCGAGTCGATGCGCCCAGCTGCACAGCCGACAGGTCTTCCCTCACGGTGAGCAAGAAGCTACGAAGAGCACCGTGGGGTAGCGCACTGCTTTGCCCAGAGGTGGAAATGAGCCAAGACAGGACAGCATGGGCATGCACCCCGGGGCTGCCCAGCTGAGGACCCCCAGTGACTCTGCTTTCCCATCCCTGGCACTCAGCAGGGAGAAGACAGACGTTCAGTGTGGGGGAGCCAAGTTCAGACTGTCTCCCCATGAGAAACCTTGGAATAGAAATGGAACTCTTAAAGCTAGAATGAGTACCGTGGCCATGCTTGCTTGCTGTGAACAAACAGAGACGAGAAGTGAGAAATCCCGGAATCTCTTGCGTGCTAATGGACACACAGGCACTTTGGGGATGGAGGGGAGTGGGCTTCTGGCTTAGGTGTGGACAGAGGCCCAGCACCTGCTTGCCGAGACAGGGACGGAATGGAGCCATAGCGGCAGCACTCTAACCCAACACGTACCTGAGGTTTCCTGTTTTAGAAAATGGGTCGATGCACTCATCCCTTGACAATATGCGATGAGAAAAAAGCTTCGCCTCAGGGTCTAAGAAGCCTTCAAGGAGGACAGAACAGAGGTGTGAGCGTGACTTGTGGTAGGACCCTGGCCCCAGCACTGCACAGCGCGTCAGACACCCAAGGGGTGGTGGCCAGGGGGCAATCTGTCCCCCGAAAACCCAGCCGTGGCTCTCTACTCAACGCATGGCCCCAGGGACAGACAAGACACAGTGCCGTTCGTGAGTGCTTCCACCCTGGCACAGGCCTGGTCCCCTCCTCTCCTCACACTGCCTGGTGGCTACTAGTGCCCGGCCACACCAGGCTCTCTCTCTGCAGTGGGACCTTTGAGGGGTACACTCCACCCCTCTGGGAAGCACAGACTGTGCATCCCCATTCTTGGGGTCACTGACAAACGTGCATTACGGCACTGGAAAATGCTTGTTCCACCGCATAGGTGACACTGCTTTCCATTGCTCAAGGGGTAGGTCTCACGGGAATGCTGAGCCCGCCAGTGGTCAAGCTTGCAATCTCCCTCTCCCAATTACACTGAAAGTATGCATCATGTGGGAAGGGTGATTTTCAATGCTAGAAGAGTGGGAAGAGAAAGCTAGCAGCTACATTTTTTTAAAATTAACTGTATTGCATTATGTGACACAGTGTTATAGGCACTGGGATTCCCCCCACCCCTCCCCGAACCTTCTCCCCAGGATGGATTTCTCCACCTTGTTGCATTACCACAGTTCAAATTCAGTTGAGGTTCTTTCATTGGAAGTATTTACCAAGCATAAAGTCCAACATCTTATTTTCCTAGTGAGTTCAACGATTTCTTGGTGAGACCATCTCTGGTCTGAAGGTAAAGTCGGCAAAGTATCATCCCAATCAATTAAAAGCCCCAACATAACATCAACGACAATTTAAAGCATTATGGCATTAATTGACATGGTACTGATTAACCAATATGTTAACAGGAAAATGCAGGTTCTTAGCAGCCACATTTGTTAACAACTACTTAGGCTCCCATCAGTAAACAACTACAGTGGCCCACAAATATTCATTCCCAACTCCTTCTATCTACAAAGTGTCATGCTCATTCACGGACGCAAAGTTCAAACTTCTCAAATCCCTGGACTGCCCAGGGAGCTCCTCCCAGTCTCAGCAGGCAGGCCTGCTCCCCCAGCTATTCTCTCTCTTGGATAAGCCACAGGGCACCCACCACCCAGGATGTCCACAGCTCCCTGAGTGGAGTAGCCCTCCTCCTGGCTGCTGGGCCTGATGTGTGTCTAGCATGGGGTTGTAGGTCTGCTGCCTCCTGTGGCCCTTGGTTCTGGCCAGCATTCTTTAGACATGTTACAACACTGAAATTCCAGGGAGTATGGCATCCCTAAAGGATGCCCTAGCAGGCAAGGGGCCTCAGCGTCCCACAGGTGCCATGGGAGCAGTCTTCAGGAGTCCAGCCTCCTGTGGCCCCGGCAGGCTCTTCACAGCTCTCGGCTTGGTCAAGGAGCACAGGGTTCGCACATGTCCCATTCCCCTGCTGGGAATCCACACAGATGCTGGGCCCTGCTGCGCCTCATGCTAATGGGGAAGGGTGATTGTAGCAAGCCAAATATTCCAGCGAACCGCAGCTCACACAACCAGCAGACCTGAAGCAGCCCCAAAGCCACAGCTGTTTCTCAACAGCACAGGAGAGGGAGCAGACAGACACAAGAGCATATGGCCTCCCTGGGTGGACGCAGCCCGTGGGGGAGAGAAGCAACTACTCGCGTCCGTGCCTTTGGGAGTCACTCATGCCTGCCTGTAGCCTGTTCAGGAACCCGTCCAGAGGACTGAGCCAGAGAAGGGGAAAGGTCCACTCCTGCCTCAAGTTCAGGTTGAGAGCACAGACAGAGCTGAACCTGCGGCCCATGTGGAGCATGGGGTGAATTCTAATAGCAGGCTGTGGACCTGTGAGGCACAAGAAAACAAAGCAGGGATGGATGCCCACTGACATGTTGGCGGTGAGAAGCAACTCTGTATTCTTCATTTCATCCTCCCATGGTACTGTGACATTTTTTAGTTCTAAAAGTGAAAGTGCTGGTTACTGGGTTGAGCCTCCCTCCATGCTGGGGTCCTTGTGATGTGGAAGACACGAAGGTGTGAAGACTATTGTTCCATTGCAGGCAGGGCCCCACGGATCTCTACAACCACCTGAAGGCAGCTCCACCTCCCTGTGCATGGAACCTGGACCACCCCACCGAGATCTCTGTACTCTATTTAGCCATTGTCTTCCTCTGCAGAGTTGGTCTTTACTATCAATGTGAGCTTGGAAGTTGACGTTGCTGATAATGTCTTAGCAAAATGGCCTTTTACTATTCAGGCTGCCCCCACTGACCATATGCTAACCAAGGGTGTTAAGTCCCTAGGTGTAGTGGGAATCTATTCTTTCCTCGATCTTTAGGTCCCTCCTTCTGTGCTGCACTTTCTCCCTTAACTGATTCAAGTCTAAGCTGTAGAATGAGGATTGCAGTAGGAATATGTTACTGATTGATACGTACTGAGAACTTCCTGACCACAGGATTAGGACGGCCGATATCCTGCCTCAAGGTGAAACAACTGGCAGATCTATCCTTAGGAAACACCCACTTGACCGTGAGACCAAGAGTGTGTACCAGTGCTTGACTGCTTCTTCATAAATAAAGGGGACAGTTTTCTTGCACTGTCCTAGTGGACCCTGAAATCGTAGAGGTCCGTCTATTTTCTCTACGCCTACTCCACGCACCCTTCGAGTCCCCAGCTCAGCTGGAGCTGCACTCTGGCACACCTGAGCACCAGCTGCAGTCCCAGCTGCTCTGTGTCCGATCCAGCTTCTTGCTAATATGCAGGAGATGGCATGGGGTGGCTGCTGCCTTTGACCTGGACCAGCCTGGCCACTGTAGCCATCTGGGAAGTGAGCTAGCAGATGGGAGCTTTCTCTCCAATTGTCTTCCATAAATACATGTGTGTGCCATGTGCAGTATGTGTATGTGCTGTGTGTGGGGTGGTATGTGTGATGTGTATGCACGTGTGTGACCATGATCATCTCACAGACCAAGACCCTGAATGCAGGTGCAGCTCCCAGGGATAGCACTAACTTCCTGCAGACACGCGCTAGATGCACCAACACTGCCCACACCACTGGGTTCTGGCCACCTTCTACCTTGCACTCCCAGGTGACCCCCCCAGGGAGGGTCTGTCCCTGACTCAGGTGCCAGTCTGTGCTGTCCCCTGTGGGACGCCTCTGCCTCCCACGTATACTCATGGACCACTGCCGTACAGGAGCAGCGTGGCCCACATCTACCCACATGTTTTCAAAGTGGTTTTCTATAGAAGGCTCTCTTCCCTCAGACACTTCCTCTGTAGGGAGGCAGCTGAAGGTGCCCTTGAAGGGACACCCCAAGAGATAGGATCTGACGGAGGGAGCGGCCAGGAGTGCTGGGAACCCACCTGCGATGGTGTGTGCGTACAGCCGGCTGCCGAAGGTAAATACATGCAGCTCGTACAGCCGCGCCACCTTCTCCAGGAAGTCTCTGCAGTGCGGCCGCAGGCGTGTGTGCAGCATCGGCTCGCCCCGGCCCAGCTGGAAGTGGAAGATGCCCTACAAGAGACAGCATGAGTGGTCAGCAGAGGCCCTGCCAGGTCCACCAGGAGGGCAGTGGTGGCACCCCTGCGACTGAGTATGACAAGAGGGCAACCTTGACCACTGCCATGACAACTGTGCTACTGACCCTAACAGCTGGAGCTGCCGTGATGAAGACGCTAACCATGAAGACTACCCTTCATCATCACACCCACCCTGACAGCCATGGCCATGGTAATGCCTCTCCCAGCAGTAACTCCACTTAGCTATGGCCACTATGACTACTGAGAACATGGTGCTGACTTGCCCACCCCCAACAGTGACCTCCTCTGACAACGAGGCTAACTGCCCACAGCAACTACCAAGGGGATTACTCCCGCTGGTCACGCTCACCACCTGGTACCAACCTGCACCTGGGCAGTGGACAATTCCGGATGTGTGTCCATGTCGTTGGGGTCCCGGCAGGTCACAGACATTCACAGGTGCTTGCCCCACACCCACCCCCAGCATTCTGCCCCATCCCGTGGTCTAATGGCAAGCACACAGTGAGGGTAACCAACTGTCACTAAGAGATGATCACGCGCAGCAGGTGTGGCAGGGATGCACAGGCAAGGCGTTCCCTTCCTCATGGAGTCACAAGCTGCTCTTCTACTCTTGAGTACCCACATTTTCTCTGTAAACACACTCACTCTTAGCAACTTAGGTCCAACCTCTACTGCCTCAAAACGCCTCACCACCCATGATGAAGCTGTTGTGGTAGGAGATGCCAAGGGTGGAGTTTCAGAGACAAGTCCCTGGCTGAAACACATGGGGTCCAGAGAACCACAGCGAAGAAGTCAATGGTCTTTTCCCATTGGACCAGTGGGTGAACAAGGTCCAAGAAGTGTGGCAGGCACAGGGCAGAAACTACAGCCAATGCCAGTGGCCTGCTCACACCTTCCAGACCACACAAGAAGGAGCAAGCCTAGCATGACCACTTCAAACACTCAACTTCAAAGGCCGAGAGCCAGACAGCACCACAGTAGCACATGCAGGCACAAACACGTAGGCAGACAAGAGGACCAGGCACAGTGGGTCAGGTAGGTGGCCAGTGTGGACGGGAGGCCTCCATACGTATTCACTCCATGGACTCCATGTGCTTACAGAGATGTGATCAGCATACAGGATGGGACTATGTAACTGTGACAGCCCTGAATTCTGCTCAGGGCTCGACACACATCTATATCACTTGCAGAATGCCACGAAAGTCTCCCCCGTGGGATCTGCGTAGGTCATCTATAGGGACACCAAAGTCACTGGGCTTGCTTAGCTGACCTCAAGCGGCTGACACCTGGAGCTTGGTCCACTTTCCTGGGCCAGTGGTGCACGCGCTGTGAAGATCCTGCTTAGCAGTCACTCTGCGGAGGCCACCCAGCAGCAAGGAAGCACACCTCATGTGCCTAGAGCAAACCCTCAGCACTTGACAACTAGAACGCTTACCTTGTTGGACATCTGGGGGCAGTGTTGCTCCGTCGTGTGGATCAGGGTCTGGTCCAGGTCTACCATGAGCACCAGCTTCCTGTTCCGATGCAGTCGCTGCTGGTCTTCCATTGCTATCTTCTCAGCTTGCTACAGTTACAAAAACACAGGAGGATAACAGGATTTGGGGAGCAGAAACATCCCTAACTGACAAGCTTCACCGCCCAGGCCAACTACATGGCGCCCAGCACCACACACTTGGTTTCCGACGCCCACCATGACACACATACACATACAAGCGTACACACATGGCCTACAGAACCCAGCACCACACATATGGGCTACAAGCCTCCCATCACATACACACACACCCTGCATGCCTTGAAAAACACACAGCCTGCATGCCTTTCACATCTCTCTCTCTCTCTCACACACACACACACACACACACACACACGACCTGCAGTGTCTAGGAGTTGGCTGAGGGTTGCAGCCAGCAAGGAGGCAGTGCTGCTGGGCTCTACCTGTCAGGGGCAGTCTAATGTGTACTGAGTGTGTAATTTAAACCGGAAGCCAACCACGGTAAAAGGGCCTGGAAAGTGGCTGTTTTGCACGAATTCATGAAATGCCAGGTGGTGACACAGCCACTTAGCTGCAAAGCCCAGACACTGGCATGGGGCTGGGAGAAGCTGCACTGCACTCCAATGGTCAGATGAGGACAGCACTGGAAGAAAACTGGGGTATGCAGTAGTCAGATCTCATGCAGACACACACATGCACACAGAAAAGCTGTGCCTGCTCAGGCTCAGAAAATCAGAATCTTGAATCTGGGTTAGCCTCCTCTCATCATCAGACACATCACGTGGAGACAAATCCAGCAAAATCCTAACATCAGACAGGTCCTGCCTCCTTACAAGACCTGAAGCTCTCAAAGGATCCTAAGAAAAAGGTGATTCCTGGACCCCTAGTCCCCCAGCTCTGCACACTACCCTGTCCCCCCAGCTCTGCACACTGCCCTGTCCTTCCAGCTCTGCACACTGCCCTGTCCCCCCAGCTCTGCACACTGCCCTGTCCCTCCAGCTCTGCACACTGCCCTGTCCTTCCAGCTCTGCACACTACCCTGTCCCCCCAGCTCTGCACACTGCCCTGTCCCCCCAGCTCTGCACACTGCCCTATCCTTCCAGCTCTGCACACTGCCCTGTCCCCCCAGCTCTGCACACTGCATTGTCCCCCACTCCAGCTCTGCACACTGCCCTGTCCTTCCAGCTCTGCACACTGCCCTGTCCCCCCAGCTCTGCACACTGCCCTGTCCCTCCAGCTCTGCACACTGCCCTGTCCTTCCAGCTCTGCACACTACCCTGTCCCCCCAGCTCTGCACACTGCCCTGTCCCCCCAGCTCTGCACACTGCCCTATCCTTCCAGCTCTGCACATGCCCTGTCCCCCCAGCTCTGCACACTGCATTGTCCCCCACTCCCAGCTCTGCACGCTGCCCTGTCCTTCCAGATCTGCACACTGCCCTGTCCCCCCAGCTCTGCACACTGCATTGTCCCCCACTCCCAGCTCTGCACACTGCCCTGTCCTTCCAGATCTGCACACTGCCCTGTCCCCCCAGCTCTGCACACTGCATTGTCCCCCACTCCCAGCTCTGCACACTGCCCTGTCCCTCCAGCTCTGCACACTGCCCTGTCCTTCCAGCTCTGCACACTACCCTGTCCCCCCAGCTCTGCACACTGCCCTGTCCCCCCAGCTCTGCACACTGCCCTATCCTTCCAGCTCTGCACACTGCCCTGTCCCCCCAGCTCTGCACACTGCATTGTCCCCCACTCCCAGCTCTGCACACTGCCCTGTCCTTCCAGATCTGCACACTGCCCTGTCCCCCCAGCTCTGCACACTGCATTGTCCCCCACTCCAGCTCTGCACACTGCCCTGTCCTTCCAGATCTGCACACTGCCCTGTCCCCCCAGCTCTGCACACTGCATTGTCCCCCACTCCCAGCTCTGCACACTGCCCTGTCCTTCCAGCTCTGCACACTGCACTGTTCTTGCAGCTGTGTACACTGCACTATTCCCCCAGCTCTGCACACTGCATTGTCCCCCACTCCCAGCTCTGCACACTGCCCTGTCCTTCCAGCTCTGCACACTGCCCTGTCCTTCCAGCTCTGCACACTGCCCTGTCCTTCCAGCTCTGCATACTGCCTTGTCCCCCCAGCTCTGCACACTGCCCTGTTCCCCCAGCTCTGCACACTGCCCTGTCCTTCCAGCTCTGCATACTGCCTTGTCCCCCCAGCTCTGCACACTGCACTGTCCTCCTACTCCCAGCTCTGCACACTGCACTGTCCCCCACCCCCAGCTCTGCACATTGCCCTGTCCTTCCAGCTCTGCACACTGCACTGTCCTTCCAGCTCTGCATACTGCCTTGTCCCCCCAGCTCTGCACACTGCATTGTCCCCCACCCCCAGCTCTGCACATTGCCCTGTCCTTCCAGCTCTGCACACTGCACTGTCCTTCCAGCTCTGCATACTGCCTTGTCCCCTCAGCTCTGCACACTGTCCAGTCCCCCCATGGATCTGTACCCTGTTCTTTCCTCCCCCTGCACCCACCGCTGTCCAGCTGTGCATACTGATGTGCCCTCAGCATGCAGACCCTGACACTACTTAAGGCACATTAATAAGCAGCACTTGGTCAAGCGCTGTTTCCAGGTGGCCCTTTCTTAACTCCGTGCTCCATCTGCAACTCAGAAATCCCACTGGACCACACTGTTCATGCTTGGGAAATGTCCCTAGGCTGCTCTGTGGCCCCATCTGCTGCTACTCACCTCAGAGCTCACCATCAGCTCTGGCACACTGTGCACCATGCACACAGTTGCCGTTGACAATGGTACCTGCTGCTTCCCATTTGTGCTCTGCAACCTGCAATGCAAGGAGGGAACACTGAGATGCAGCTCTCACAGGTCAGCTGCCATGGGGAGCTGTGTGACAGCTAACTGGGTACACAATGGTCTCAGCAGATTGTTCTGGGGACACCACAGCAATATCCTCGCTGTTGGGAACACTGGAGAAGAGCAAGCCTATGTTCAAGCACACTGTTTATACCCTGGCACACGCAGTCCAAAGCTGGTCAAGCTCACACATATGCAGTTGCACTGAGGGAGTCATGCGAGCCACTCCCACACAGCTCCCTACTGAGGGAAAGAGGCTGGTGCTGCTAGTAACCAGGCCCAAGTATAGGGGCGGAGGGCTTGGGGGAGCAGGCCCAGGCCTCTCTCAGAGGGGCCACGAGACGGAGGGACCTGTAGTTGCTCAGGAGGATGAGCAGAGGAATCCGCTCAGTGCTCCATTGCCATAGCCAAGAGGGCATTAAGCATGATACAATACTTTAGAAATTAGAGATGGGAACATGGACAGACATGCTGGGGGTACTCACTGGGTCAGGTCCTGGCCACACTCAGCACACAAGCCCTTCATCACCACGGGGTGGCTGCATGCTTCTAGTCTCACGAGGATTGCCCTGCAACACATGGAATGAGGGCAGTCACGCAGACCTACCACAGCTCATGGAGTGGGGACAGACACAAAGATACTTCAGAACTCATGGCTCATCACACTGTGAGTATTTCTGAACACCTAGCTCCGCCCTGACTTGCTGCCCCTTGCCCTGATATCAGCTGGGCTACATGAGAGCCAAGCCCGATGTATGGTGCTACAGGCACACTGCGGGGTCTCTCTCAGGAGAGACAGGGAGGCCTAATGCTGCCTTGGAGCCCTCTGGCTTCACCATTGCCACTCTTCTGACACAGTGAGGTTCTTTCATCAGCAAGGACAGCTGGTCAAATGTCACCTGACAAATCATATCCTTCTGTGCTCAGCTAAGCCTTCCTGACAGACTCTGAAACAGGCACTGCTGAGATTCCACGAGCTACTGGCGATCAACTTCTGCAGCCTGTCTGCCCAAGCGCCCAAACAGGAGGTGGCCATGGGCATGCTGAGGGGACACTAAGAGGCTCAGTGCCCAGAGGAGACCTGCACACACAGCTCTGTGGGGCACTTGTCCCCTCAAGACCAGACAGCCTAGCGGGGTGTGCCTGGGGGCTTGGCCCTCAGTAGCAGCAGTCTTCCCCATGCAGATGCTGTGGCTGTCCCCTGGGATGCCAACGGAAGGTTCAACAAGCCTGTATGATATAAGACATGAGAACCAGTAGCCCCTGCAGGGCCATAGCACAACACCTCGGGCTGTGCCACAGGGCAGAGGTCTCCACACACACACACTGGCCAGAGCCCACGCACGACTTCTGCCGGCACAGACAAGCTAAACCCAAAGTCTCGGAGTCCACTGGCCCTGGTGTGGATGAAACGTGGTAGAGGACAGAGGAGGGGGCCCTGTGCCTGCTCTTACCTCTAGAGCTGCAGCCACCCTGTGCCTCAGGGAGCCATATGCACAGGGACTTGCAAATAGGCCCACCACCCCTTCAGTGTGAGAGCCCAGCTCGTGTCCAACACAGACATGAATTCACAACGGTTAGGGACCTTAGAAGAGGAGGAGGAGAAACTTTTGGGACCCTGGAGCAGGCAGTGCTCTTAGCCAGGACAACAGCCTAGTCCAGAAGTATAGGTGCTGGGCCACAGCAGGAAGGCGGCAGCTGAGACACAGCACCCTCCTGGCCACTCTAGCCCAGGGACCCTCTGCTGGACGTGGAGTCTCATCCACCCGACCCTCTCCAAGCACCCTTATCTTGTGAGCATTTTGCACCTACGCCCCCAAACCAAGCCTACCCCTGTGCAGGCCCCACAGACCCCAACAGCAACACCCAAGACCACCCTGGGATGGACCACTGTGTCCTGACCACAGCACCATCAAATTTTTTAAAAAGATTTTTATTTTTTATTATTTTTTTTATTGGAAAGGCGGATATACAGAGAACAGAGACAGAGAGGAAGATCCCCCATCTGAAGATTCACTCCCAAAATGAGCGCAACAGCCGATGCTATGCCGATCCGAAGCCAGGAGCCTCTTGCTGGTCTCCCACGCGGGTGCAGGGTCCCAAAGCTTTGGGCCATCCTCGACTGCTTTCCCGGGCCACAGGCAGGGAGCTGGAAGGGAAGCGGGGCTGCCGGGATAGAACCAGTGCCCATATGGGATCCCGGGCGTGCAAGGTGAGGACCTTAACCACTGCGCCACCGCACCATCGATTTTTAAAAGATTTGTTTGATAGAGTGACAGAGACAGAGGGAGGGACACAGATTTTCCACTTGCTAGTTCATTCCCCACAGGGCTCCATCAGCGGCTCTGGTCAGATTGAAGCTGGGAGTTAAGGACTCCCACATGGAGGCTGAGGTGAGTACTTGGGGACAACTCCTATTGTGTTTCTGTCACTCCTCACCCCTCCCACTCAGGGCTGCGGACACACACTCTGACACCAGCACTGATGTGAAGATAACGCACTATGCTAAGGATCAGCAGCTGAAGAAAATCAGGAAATGAAATGTACAAATGTGTGATTTTCCCTAGACTGTATATGCAGGAAGACTAAGAGATTTGGGGCTCTACAATTTGCACTGGAAATCTCCACAGGAGTGAGAGCAGCAAGGGACAGTCAGGGTGTGTGGTGTGAGAGCTGCTACCCCTATACCATCAGGCACTGACCCACAGGTTGCAAGGGCCCTGGACACGGCACCAGCTCCCAACACTGAGTATGGGAGAGTATCCGGAGAGATTTGGGGTGGGGAACAGGACTGGGATGGGGGACAGGACCTGGGTGAGGAGCACCTGAGGGGTGGGGGAGAGGGCCTGGGTGGGGAGCACCTGAGGGGTGGGGGACAGGACCTGGGGTGGGGGTGGAAGGAGCACCTAGGGTGGGCAAACTTTCTGCCACTCCCTCTGGAAAGAAGCATGCCTCGCCAGAAAAAAGACCGCCCATAGCTGGTGCAGGAGTGAAAGGAGCCACTCAGACCAGCACATGCAGGAAGATGGTCAGGGCTGGACTGAGTGGCCGGACTCCCTGTGAGGATTGGGGACAATCCGGGCATAAGACACACACAGTGGATCCTAATTAGCAGGTAAATTGAGGACAACAAACCTACACTGCGACATGAAGCCATCCATCAGCTGTTCCCATGTCAACAGCGATGGAACGCAGATGCCAAGGATGGCAGGCAGGGCGTTTATGGGGCAATAAAGTGTCTCTCACAAGTCGTCCAGGTTTGGAGAAGGCTGTGACTTCCACCAGGGCCCCACCTTCAGCACTGCAGGCTGGGACAAGCCATGGTCACACGCCATTGTCAGTAGTGGGGCAGAGAAGGGAGCAACTGCTACAACAGGACTGACTGGCCTCTGGTGTCTTGTGTCCCCCAGTATATAGCCCTTTAGAGGCTGCAGGCAGCTCCCCTGTGGCAGTACCAGGAGAAGCCACCAGGCCAGCAGGGGCCTGTCCAGTTCCCATTTCCCACACACACAGCAGGACCCTGCCCCAGAGGCGGGTTTCTCAGATGGCTCAGGGACAGCACAGTGGCTTGGGTCCCACTCCCCCCTCGTGAGGTGTTTCAGAGCAGGGGTGCCCATGTCATTTCCATCAGGCTAGCACACAGACCCTGCTGTGGGTCCACACCCGGCCTCAGAGGCTCAACCCTGCCAGTGCCACAGTCTGCTGACTTTTTTGGTTTGAAAGGCAGAGAGGGATTGGGGGCGTAGATCCTTCATCTGGGGTCACCCCAGAGGCCAGGACAAAGCGGGAGTCAAGAGCTCCATCCTGGTCTTCCACATGGGTACAGGCCCTCCCCAGGGGCACCAGGAAGAGGCTGCAAGCAGAGCACAGGGATGCCAGACGGCATTCCAAAATGCGACCCCAAGAAGCTTTTCACAAACCTAGGAAGTTCAGTGGCCTTCGCAGCGTTCCAGAAGCTCTCGGAAACTCATCTGCTGTTTTCCTTACATCATCTTCCTCCCAAACAAAACAAGCACTTGTATCGTTTCTCGTTTGACTTTGGAATCTCTTTCTAGTCCCTGATGTCACATGGTCCCCACAGCGAATGTGGTGGACCACACCAGGGAAGGTGCAGCTTGTTTTGGCTCCCTCTGCAACCCCACTGGCAGTGAATGAGCACCCAGAGGCACAGGTGATGGCCTGGAGCCCTGCTCCTGCTCACACATACCCTGGAGGCAGCAGATGCCCACTGGGTCCCTGCCACCCTGTGGGAGCCCAGGATGGGGCTGCTGGTTCCCAGATTTCACTGCTGCAGGCATCTAGGGAGTGAACCAGTGAGTGGAAGATCTCTTTGCTTTCAGATTAGTAAAGAATTCTTATAAACCCCCACAAAAAGAGATAAATCTGACAATGGAGCCACAATTTCTAAACACGAGTGTTTTAGGCAAAGTTTTGCTCAGACGCCAAGTCTGGCATCCCATAGGATGCAGTGAATGGCACAGCAAATTGCAGCTCAGCCACCTCCTCTGGGTTCAACCAAAGAAACCAGTGCCCAACACCCAAGTACCAGGTAGCTATTTCCTGAGGAATTTTAAAAAAAAAGATTTATTTTGTTGAAAGGCAGATTTACAGAAAGAGGAGGATTTACAGAGGAAGAGCTTCCATCTGCTGGTTCACTCCCCAAGTAGCTGCAATGGCTGGAACTGAGCTGATTTGAAGCCAGGAGCTTCTTCCGGGTTTCTCAGGCGGGTACAGGCTCCCAAGGCTTTGGGCCGTCCTCAACTGCTTTCCCAGGGCACAAGCAGGGAGTTGGGTGGGAAGTGGAGCACCTGGGACATGAACTGGCATCCACATGAGATCTCAGTGGATGCAATCTGAGGATTTAGCCACTAGGCTATTGCGCCAGGCCTCCGAGGACAGAGTAGGCAGCAAAATCTCGAGGTATCCAGTTGAGAGTCAGCTGACTTGTCAGGATCCTGAGGTTCTTCCCTGACTTTCAGGCAGGTGCACATAGATGACTGCTACAGTGGACTAAGTCGGGGTACAGACACCCCCAGATCCAAGTCCAGGCTGAACTCTTCACTGAAGTTCCTTAACATCTGTGCTGCTAACGTCCACACTGCAGTTGGGGCAGCAGCACCGCTGGGCACCCCCGCCCCCTGCGTCCTGTGCACAGGAACACGGTCAGTTCCAGCCTTTCCTCCTTTCCTACGAAACGGGAAAGCATGCCCTGAGAAGTCTTTAGTGCCTCTCTGAATGACAACAAAGAATCACTCAATGAAGGAGCAGTTCACAGCATGGGCCCCTGCCAGATGGCAACAATCTTAACACTGCTGTATCACACACACACACACACTCTCTCTCTCCCTCAGCCCCTGTGGGGGAAGCCAGGTGTCGGGCTGCACTGTCTCTGCACTGGATTACTGGGGGGAGGTGCAGTCCCCACATCCCAGGAGCAGGACCACAGGCAGCCCCACAGCCTGCTGCAAGGTGCTCTGCCTAGGGGGACTGCCTCCAAGAACCGGCACCTATTCCTGGGCCCTGGGTCCTGCCGCAGAGGCCACGGGTCAGTCACAGGAAATCCAGGCAGCGTTGCCTTGGGACGTACTTGGGCCAGTCACCTGCGACTCAGTGAAACCCGTGAGGATATGCCCGGCTACGAAACCAGCCTGAGGGACTCCATTTCTGACACCCAAGTTTTGGAAGAGCCAGCAGGGTTCATGGGAGCTGGGAGGTTCGCTGAACACGCAGAGGGTGGACTGACACCTGTCTGCATGAGGAAGCACCAGCCGAGGCCCACACATATCCCCTACCCACCCACCCGCTGTCGGGTCATGGGAGCCCAGCCGGGGTCCACACACATCACCCACTGAAGGGTCACGCAGACTTCCCAGGGAGGTCAGCACTTCCACAGGACGCAAGCGGCGTAGGTGGTCAGACCTAGGACGGCCTCGGCGCCCGGGAGAACTCCTGCCACCCCGCGCCCCCGGCTCAGCTCTCCCGCCGCCAGCGTGCTCCCGCGCCCCGCGCACTCACCCGGGCGGCAGCAGCTGGCCCGGCTGCGCGCACAGCTCCCGCACCACTCCGGCGCGCTCGGACCGCAGCCTGCGCTCGGGCCGCGCGGGGCGCACGCCGCCCTCGGGGCCGGCGGCCTCGCACACGGCCAGCACGGACCCGATGCGCACCGCCGCGCCCGCCGCCACCTTCCACTCGAGCAGACGCAGCGGCGCGGGGCCCGGGCAGCGCACCTCGGCCCCGGCGGCGGGCGGCGGCTCCATGACGGCGTCGGGGCGCCCGGCCCAGCGCGGACGGCCCCGCCGGGGCAGCGCGCACTTCCCGCTCGGCGCCGGCTCGGCCCGCGCCCACTTCCGGGAGGGCGTGACGTCGCGGCGTGCGTGCGTGCGGGGGCGGCCGCAGGACGCCGACGCGGGCCCGGGAGCCGGCCTCGGGGCGGCCTCGGCGGACTGCGGGTCCTGCAGCGAGCGCCGGTCGCGGCCCTCGACGACGGTTGCGCCCCGCGAGTCCCGGCGTCTCGGGACTAGGACTCCCGGCATGCGCAGCGGAGCGTGTGCTTCCACTCCCGCCGTCCCCCGCGCGGGTCGGACCAACGTCAGGAAACTACGTGTCCCGGCATGCAACGCAGCCGGCTGCCGGGATACCGTCAGGAGATGCAAACTACGAGTCCCGGCATGCACCGCCGGTCGCTGCCCACATCCCAGAGGTGGAAGCAGCCTGCAGCTGAATGAGTGGAGCGGAAGACCCCTG